GTTAAACTAATAGGGCAATAAAATAAACAGGTACACTTGAGAGTAATTTGGATGGCCAATTCTGATTGGTAGCTGGCAGATCTTTGAGGAGATGCTGTGGAATCTAGGATTTGAGTGGTGAGTAAGAAGTCCACATGATGAGCTGGGAGAAGATTGTTTCAGAGAGAAGGAATAAGTAGTGCAAAGCCATATTGTGGGATGGAATTGAACATGTCAGCTATGGAAAACCAGGGGCACCAGCGCAAGGCTCTGAGTTGGGCAGGAGAATGCACAGGAGCCAAAATAAGGAAGGCCTTGGGAACAAGAGTAGGAATTGTGAGTTCTTTCTACTTGTGATAACAAAGAACTAGATGACTTTAAGGCAGAAGTGTTTTTTAAATTTATTTCTTAAAAATATTCTGGCCTTGGATTGAACGTGGATAGTGATGTGTTACAGAAGAGCCAACTGGGAGGCCACTTCGGTAGCTGAGAAAGAGATTTGGTGGTAGCAGGCACAAACTGGTACCAAAGACAGTGAAATGGAAAATGTTCTGCGGGTCAAGTGGAAAGTTTCAGCCAGTTCTGCACTGCCCATGAGGGGCGTGGAAGGTTGCCTGACAAGTTGGGGGTTTGGTTATGTCGCCTGCAAAACGTGCACTTATTTAGGTGTGGAGGTTAAGAGAGAGGTTTGGGTTAAAGACAGAAGTGTTTCTGAAGGTATAGGCCAGTTTCAAGTGCTCAAAGAAGGTTCTCAAGTAGGATGGAGAAGAGAGCTCAGGACGGCGCTCTAGGTCATCGTGGCATTTCACACGGCAGGCAGCTCAGGGAGATCAGGGAGAAGGAACCACAGTGTGGTGGAAGGAAGATCCAGAAAGCATGGATTTAAGAGAAGAATAAGAGACTCAAGAAAGAAAAAAGGTCAGCTCTGTGGACTATTCCAGAGATGGTAAATTTGAAAAGGATGAAAAAGTGGCATTAGATTTGGCCACATAAGGGTGCCCAAGTAAAATGCCGGTCCATAGCGAACCTCATAAAGTACTCAAAAGAAGTAATAATAGAAGAATATAAAAGAGCTATATTCCTGACCTCACAAAGCCCCAGAGTCCATTACATGAACTCATGGTTGTAAAATGCTTCGCTCGGCACCTGGTGTATGATCAACATTCCTCAAAAGTAGGTGGTAATGTTAGCAGCAGCAGCAGCAGCAGCAGCAGCAGCAGCAGCAGCAGCAGCAGCAGCAGCAGCAGCAGCAGCATTATAACTCCTGATGCATGAATTCTGCAGAACTGACCTGGGAGGTGGTGACCGTTAATTGCGTGTTGCTTCTTCCCAAAGCTCCTAGCCAGCCCCCAAGGATTATCAGCTCGGTGAGGTCCGGCTCCCGGTACATAATCACCTGGGATCATGTGGTGGCACTGTCAAATGAATCTTCAGTCACAGGGTACAAGGTATGAAGAACATTGCTAAATCAGTGTGCTTTCAGCCTTTGTCCATGGGGGTAGTTTCTGCTGTTTCAGCAAAAGTTGTCCAGCTTTTGGATTCTACCGGGGTAGCAGAATCAGATGACACACTCTTGTGAGAAGACATCATCAGTGGATTTTAGAAAATGTGTCCTTCGAATGAGGGACATGAGATAATTGCTTTAATGAATAGAACTGTTAGGAAAATAAAGGCTTTAAAAGTATAGATGGCCGAAGTCATTTTCACCTGGTTATGTTTGTGATACAGCTGCTCAGCACTCTACAAATTCAGAAAAAATTATTTCCATACATCCTGTATCTCATGCTATAACATTTGGTATGGATACTAAGTTTATAAATAATGGGAAAAAATTTAATACTGAAAGAAATATTTTAGAGCATTTCAATATATTAAAAAGAATATGTATTTTGAGAAAAAAAATATATTATTTTTAGCCATCTCAAAAACATTCACCACCTTGTGGCATATCCTAAGAGGGAACTCCCCCAAACTAGCAGAAATTAATGAGAATTGAATGTAGCATGAAATCCACTGCTAATTTTAGATGTGTCCTTTTTATGAATCAAGGGGGGTTTGTGTTGACTTTTGCATGTGTGTATGGGCTCCTTAGTAGGACCTTATTAAGTATTTGTATTTCTGGACCTTACCAGGTACTTTATAGACCTGATGGCCAGCATGAGGGCAAGTTGTATTCAACTCATAAGCACTCCATAGAGGTCCCGATCCCCAGGGATGGGGAGTATGTGGTAGAGGTTCGAGCACACAGTGACGGGGGCGATGGCGTGGTGTCTCAAGTCAAAATTTCAGGTAAGTCCATCCTCATGACCTCTGTCAGTTAAATACCTGTAGATCTCTATGCCCCAGCTTCCCAACACTAAATATAGGGCTGATGTCTACAGTATCGTAAGCCTTTCCCTAAGCAGACTCAGAATATCAGGCATGAGCAAGATCTGATACTTCCTTCCTTACGACTCACAAAAGTAAATCTGCAGCATGTGACATAGTTGGTGGTTATTGTCTGGATGTCCGGCACAACCTTGCGGATGTAGGTGGAGCAAGTTCTGCAGATCTTCACTGGACCTGATGGTTGGTGATGTTTATGTTCATCTGATTGTGGCAGTCATTAGTACGCGGATATGAGACTCAAGCCATGATTTTGTGTACACTAAATATATTCGATCTGTGTATTAGTTAATTAAATAGTTAAAGGTAACAAAGCACATTTTAAGTATAAGATACTGACCAGGCATGCCTATAATCACAGGAGTCTGAAAGATGAGGCAGGTAGATCACAAGTTCAAGCCTAACTTGTGTAATTTAGTGTCTTGTGGTAAACCTGTTTCAAAAAACAGAAATAAAGTTCTGGAGATGTAGCTCAGTGTGAAAACCCCAGATCTATTCACAGAGGATGTATTTTATGCTTTTGTATAATCTTCACATATATTCACACTCTTTTCCATATTTTGCCGACTAAGGGATATTTCATATCAATTGCAAAACTTCGGTTGTTTCAGTCCAATTATACCTATGCAAATAAACTATAGAATTAATATTAGGAAATGTCAGGTGTTTGGGGAATATTGATACTCTACAACTTTTTTGTTTAAATTTGGATCTACTTGAAAATTGTTCACATTATTTGTAATGAAAAAATGTAAATGAAAATGAAAATTTTAGCCCTTCTTGAAAGTTTAAAGACTCAGTATTTTCCTTTGTTTTAGCTTCATGTCTAAAATATGTAGCCAGGAATTTAATACACTGCTAGATTTTGTAAGCATTATGTTGCTAG